ATTGGGTTCGCGCTAATCTCGCCCGATCTGGATCTGTGAAAAAGGAACGAGCCAGCCGGACTCTAACAACCAGCCATCCTGTCTTTCCCGATGACTGAACAGCTCCAGCTTGCGTAAGCGGTCAACCCACACGCTGCCCTGAGTCGTGTCCGATTCGTGTTGCTCATACTGCTTGTTCAACATGTCTCGTCCCCTGGGTCTTTGCTCGGCCCGCGAACACCGCACGTCTCGGTGACTCGCGGATAATGCGCCGATCACAAAGGTATTCTGATACATTGTCCACTACTCGTTCACCATCAGCCGCGGCTGCAGTGACAGGCACAGGGTGTTTTACGGCATTTATTATTGCAGTTGCACATGAGGATATATTAGTTTCCCCATCCGGTAAAGATCCGTGCAACACGCTGGGCTTTCCCAGTGCGTACACGGTCCTGACGGCTCAGCAACTTGATGTGAGATACGTTCAATGAACTTGCTTGTGTAAGTGAGAACCCTCTTTAGCAACTCAGATTAGATTCACGTCCTGTGTCGCCCATAATAACCAACCTACTCTTCCGTTCTGACAACTTCTTAGACCGTCCACAAGTCGCCAAGAGTTCACTTTACGGACAGTAGCTCTGTGACCCAACACCGGAATTCACACATCTCTATCCAATTGTTTTCTTCTAACAATATCATCATCATTGCCTCTATCTTGTATTCACTAGACATGTTTGCGTGCGCCAATGGTAGATATGGCCAGAGGGGCCCTGCATCCATGGATTGCGGAGGCCGAGGCTGGGCCAATGGACTAACGCTAGTTTTCGCTCGCATGTCCAAAGTATCATCCCAAAGTCAGCGCATCGCGTCGCGCGCAGCACCACCACTCGAAGACACTGCCGGCTGACCGATCCTGCCTGTTCAGGCTCACACACGTACAAATTGTGGATTTAAAAGAATCGCCTTCCCTGTCGTCATCGGAACAAGCGAGCTCGATTCCGCGGAAGGCTTGGTTGCATCTACGGCTCCATCCCGCGCACCTACATGGCGACGGCGACAACGCCAGGCACATACATACACCCATAAAGTCCTTGTCGCTCGGTGCATCAATTACGGTGTAGGCGCAAAGCAAGCCTGTCTCGCCCGACACGGCTTTGCGTCCAGGGAAGCAAAAAGCTTTGCTCAGTCATCACCCAAGGCGACCAAGTCTCTTGCCTCTGTCTGTCGCCTTTCACTCCGAACTACAAGGAGCTGCCCTGGAGGTGTCGAGTGTATGCGCGTCGCATGGAGTATGAGGTAGATAGGCTCCTGGTTCTGCATGTGTGATATTGGACATTGAGCGTTAGCGTCCCTCTCTTTGAGATTCTCGCGATCCTCCACCCTCTTCTTCAGCACCTTCCACCAACCCCACGACCTTCCACAACATGTCGGACAGCGAGTCGGACCAAAATACGGCTCGACTGGAGCCCGAGCTGCGCGAGATGAAGTTGGAAGCTGCGAACTCGGACGGTGCAGGTGAGAGCAAGGACACCAGTCAGGTAAAGGTCGAGGTAGATGATCGCGCGCCCACGCCTCTGGCCATCCCTCCCCGGCTCAAGACGCGATCCAGGACCCAGTCGCCCATGACAAAACACGAAGTCGATACTCCGTCGCCCGGCAGCGCCCGTGAAGAGATCGTAGGTGGTGATATCACGCTGAAGATGGAGCCCGGCAAGGCACCCAAGCTCTCGCGCACCGCGTCCCAAAAAGTCGTCTCACGACCACCTCCGCTATTTCTCGACCTCCCCGATTCTACTGCCGCCGCCAAAGAGACTTTCGTAGTCCTCCCAGAATGCACGTACGCGAACAAGACCATCGGCACCACCGACCCTGCGCTCGAATGCGACTGTCAAGAAGAATACGACGCCACGACCAAGACAAATCATGCCTGTGGCGAAGACTCCGACTGCATCAACCGCGCGACAAAGATGGAGTGCCTAGGTGACTGCGGCTGCGGTCGGAAATGCCAGAACATGCGCTTTCAACGGAAACAGTATGCCGATGTCACAGTTATAAAGACGGAGAAGAAGGGTTTCGGTCTTCGCGCCAACAAGGACATGGCTCCAGGCGATTTCGTCTTCGAATACATTGGCGAAGTCATCGACGAGCGCACCTTCCGCCGTCGCATGGGTCAATACGACGACGAGGGAATCAAGCATTTCTACTTCATGTCCCTTACTAAGGGCGAGTTTGTGGACGCCACAAAAAAGGGCAACCTGGGTCGTTTCTGCAATCACTCGTGCAATCCCAACTGTTTCGTCGACAAGTGGGTTGTTGGGGATAAACTGCGCATGGGCATATTCGTCGAGCGTAGCGTCAAAGCAGGCGAGGAGCTTGTTTTCAACTACAATGTCGATCGATACGGCGCAGATCCGCAACCTTGCTACTGTGGTGAGCCTAACTGTAGCGGCTTCATCGGCGGAAAGACACAGTCCGACAATGCGACAAACCTTAGCAATGAAACGATCGCGGCTCTCGGAATCGACGATATTGATGGTTGGGGTACGGCAGTCGCCAAGAAGCCCCGCAAGAAGAAGGCAAGCGAAGACGATGAAGAATACGTTAGCAATTTGCAGACCCGCGAGCTGGAAGAGGATGCAGTAAACAAGGTCGTGTCAGCTTTGCGCAACTGCGAAGAAAAGTGGATTGCTGTCAAGCTTCTCAGCCGTATGCAGACCGACAACGAAAAGGTTCGCGCACGTATCGTCCAATTCCACGGCTATAGAAACCTCAAAACCACTTTGTCTAGGTGGAAGGATGACTACAATGTTGTTCTCCAAGTGCTGGACGTACTGCACAGACTGCCACGCATTACTCGAAACAAGATTCAAGACTCTGGTATTGAAGAGGAGGTAAGCAAGCTGACAGACTGCGGAGATGAACGAGTCGAGGAAGCCGCCAAAGAGCTATTGGCTGCATGGAGTAAGCTGGAAATCGGCTACAGGATACCACGGCTGAAGAGAGATCCAAACGCAAGCACACCAGCTCGGACCGAGAATCATTATGAACGACGCGAGAGAGCTCGTGAACGCTCCCGGTCTAGGTCAAAATCGCCTTCCACGATTGCACCCAAAGGCCCATCTGCAGCAAACATCCCGTCCGGTCCTCGTGTGTTAAATGCACCTCGCGGCCCAGCTGGCTTCTTCGCCACTCCACGACCAATTATGCGACCAAGACCATTCAACGCTCTTCCACAAGGCTGGTATCAGGCCACAGCCGAGAACGGTTCGACGTATTTCTACAACCAGACTGGTATCACACAGTGGCAACGACCAACTCAGCCTGCAGATGCCCCACCGCCTCCCCCGAATAAGGCTAGGAATGAGACGCAGCTGTTACAAGACATCATAGCGAGCATAACATCGAACAACACACCTACCGGGCCCTCCGCATCTACTACTCCGCAGCCAGTCTCCAATGAGGACATAGAACCGGCTTTTGGTCGTGAAAAGTGGCGTACCTTATCATTAGAAAAGCAGGAAAAGGTGTATGAAGCGACAGTGAGTATTATTAATTGTTCTGCAAAGCATATCTGACCCTCACAGCTTGCACCGCACGTCACGGCAGTGACGAAACAGTATTACAAGAAATTCGAAAAGCAGGAGATTAAAAGACTGAGTAAAGAGGTGGCACAGAAGCTTGTGAGAGGCGACTACAAGTCCGGTCGTGTCAAGGACCCGACGGCTAGAATAAGTTCCAACCACGAGAAGACGGTCAGAGATGAGGTCAAGCGTTTCATGGACAAGGCTGTCAAGAAGAAGCAAGAGCGACAGAAGATGAAGGCCGCACAGAGTGGTGTGAAGTCAGACCTCACCAGCGAGTCTCCTAGCACCCCTTCAGGGCCAGCCGGTGATGCTGATGAGGCCTCTCCATCCGACTCAACATCCGACCTGAAGCGGAAGAGAGACGGAGAGGCACAATCTGGCTCACCAAAGCGAACCCGAACGACTTCTGAAAACCAGCAATCAGCGCCTCCACCTCCCCCTCCACCTCCCCCTCCACCCCCAGCAACCACCGACGGCGAAGAAACTAGCCTCACGCCCATGGACGATACGTCCGCCATGTCGTTTCCCGACTCCACAGAGAGAGTAAGCACGGGCAGCAAAATGGCATTTCAACTAGACGGTTACGGAAGCCCTATGCAGCTTGCAACGCCCCCTACAAACGGCTCTAACGGCTCCGGTGATCAACAGCAGACGCACCATTCAGTCAACGGTGAACGTACCCACTCATAGCATGCCGAGAGTTAGTTGCTAGTCATTCAATTTCTGTTACAAGGTTCTTCACTATTTTATTCTTTGTAATTCTTCGATTGAAGGCGATACGTTCGACTGTATATATGGTTCGAATGCGCAAGGCATAACATGGCATTGGTGGGAAAAGGTCAGAAGTGAGCGGCTCTATCCAACAGCCAGCATGTGAAGTGGTGACGGGGCATATGTATGTATATATTATGTTAAGTGTTTGGAACTAGGCAAGATAATCAGCTATGTTCTACGCGTGCAGCGTGCAGCCTCAAATTTTGGTCTAACCAGTTCTACGTACTTTGTGCATCGGTGATTGGGCCGCGGCATCTCTGCGAAACCGGAAGTAGGAACCTGCGCTGGTATTTGTCCAACGTTCAAGTTTCCTATTCGTTCGGGTTTCCAAATAATCCTACTGCTAATCGGACCGAGAATCTGTTTAGGGCAACCGTAGGAGCGGAATCACCAACTCAGCCCGCGAGCGTGGGTTTTCCGCCCCCAAATACCCAGGTCAGATTTCGCCCGGTCGCTTACTGGTCCAGTAAACGCTCGCGTTGCACAACAACAAGCCTCAAGAGATGAGATTAACGCATTAACGCCCCGCCCCATGGATCCTTCAGCTTTACAAGTATAGATGAACTTGGCAGTGATAAACCCATGTTATATGTATCCCCCTTCGCGCATCCTGCGTTTGCTTCTCAGCCCTACAGCGTCGTCTGATCTCGAAGACGACACATGATGTTGCTCCAAACCGTTCTATGGCTCGCTTTCACCACACTAGCATCTGCAGATAACTGTTACTGGCGTAATGGGGGCTTGCAGACCGTTGCCAAATATCAGCCGTGCTCCAACGACACTTCCGATCCGCTCAGCCATATCTGCTGCAAAATTGGCGAAGGCGAGGATACCTGTCTTCCGAATGGCATCTGTCAGGCCTTTGCGCCAACTGAAGAATACCTCGGCCTTTATTTTAGAGAGAGTTGCACACTACAAAACTGGGAAGCTGGAGGCTGCCAGGACCTGTGTTCGAGTGGAGTATGAAAGGCCCGTAGAAGGTGCGCGATTAAACGCTGACATGGACTTGTAGGACGAGCAAAGCAAAAACGACGTGACTGTCACTCCTTGCGACGGAACCCCTACGTCCGAGTTCTGGTGCTGCGGCAACACAACCGATTGCTGTTCGGATCCCAATCTTGAGAAGTTCAAAGTCGAACCCACCTTCAGCGGCGTAATCACGAGTTCGCTACTCCCAACGTCCACAATTGCCTCTATATCGCCGAGCCCATCCAGCCCGTCCACCTCCTCGAATGCGAATGCGACGGATACTCCAACCCCTTCGCCTACTTCAACTCCACAGAATAACGAAAGTGCCGGTCTGTCGACAGGCGCAAAGGCTGGAATAGGTGTGGGTGCTGCTGCTGGTGTTATTGCGCTGATCGCGATTGGTGTTCTCATCGGAAGAAGGTCGCATAAGAAGAAGAAGCAAGTTACAGAGGCGACAAGCTACTACGAGCCAGCCAAAGGGGAATTACCGCCCCAGTATAGGCACGAAGCTCCCATGGACGAAGTTTCCAGGCACGAAGCTCCGGCTACGCAAGCACCTGTAGAATTGTCTGGGGATCAAGTACGACCACACGAGGCGCCGGAGAGTCGATAGCCAGCGTGGGTGACTTCAGGATAACGAGTTGGTATGCCGTAATTTTTCTGGTTGAAAGTAGGAATGAGTTTCTGCTGAGCGCGGATGCAATACATCGACGAAAGGGTCATTGACCTGAGGCACATACTACGAGTATATGCTCTATTGAATATTCCGTATCATTTCTCAGACATGTCGTGCTTGAGTGATGGTGGTCGTAGTCTGGGGTTGAGGTTCCTCGCGTCGCGTGCCTGCCTTGTGCGTGTCATATCAACGTCATCTCGTCAATCGTACGACAACGACATCCAACGTGCCTGCATATCCGCGTCACTAACCAAAAAGAGCTCTGCAACGTCGGTCGCGACGACTTGGCTGGGCAATAAGGACAGCGGATCGCTTCCGAAAACAATATGCATGATGCGCGATTGCTCGTAATGCACGAGTTTCTCCGGCATATGCGGCTGCCAATTCGTATAATACTTGGGTGAAATAATCATATCTGAATTGCACGAATTTTGACAAATCTTCGTTTTCAAAAGGCAAACTCTCACTTTCAGTATGTCGAACACACAAGCAACAAAACAAGCTCTCTCTGAGCACAAAGTCATTCCAGATGTCCTTCCAGACAGCATCAACCTATCATACAACCTAACACTAGAATGGCCAAACGCAAAGCTCGACACACCAGGAAAAGAGCTGGAAAACCCCGACACGAAACCTGAGCCTAAAGTCTTCATTAACCCTGCAGTAAGCACCAGCAAACTATCACACCTAGCAACCCCCACTAATCCAACATCCAGCCTTCAGAGCCGCTAGACAACCTCGTCCTGATGATGGTCGACCCAGACCTCCTAATGAACAACGACACTTACTGCGGCCAAGTCCGCCACTGGCTCGTCACAAACCTCTCCAGCAACCCTGACGGCACGCTATCCCACCATGCCGCCGCTGAGCGCTCACCCTACGTGCGTCCAGCTCCTCTGCCTAATTACCTCTACCCGCGTCCGCACCGCTACGTCTTCATCCTCGCTCGCGCATCTGGTAAGGTGGAAGTCCGGCCTGAGGATCTGCGCGAGATGCAGAAGGAGTGGGTGGCGGCTGCACAGGGGAAGCAGGGTGAGATGCAGGATTTGAAGGACCGGTGGGGGTTTAAAGCGCAGAGGCTGATTGAGGAGAAGGGGTTGGAGGTGTTGGCGGTGAATTTTATGAGGGTGGGTGGGACGGTGGAGAGTAGTTTGGCGAATGCGGCGATGATGGGACAGGCGGTTGTTGATAAGGTATGTTGATATGTTCTTCTTGTGCGTCAGGGTTGGCTAATGCGATGTTTAGGTTCTTGGAAAGTAGGCTGGTGCTTACGGGTTGGTGTATAAGTACTTGATATATCGACGCTCCACCCTTTTCCCTTCACTTCACGACTCTGAAACTGCAGAGTTTCCCATCATATTTCAAGGTGCTAGTTTGTTGTAGCTAACCAACGAACGAACCAAGCACAGATGGCAGCCTAGGAATCATATCTGAAGTATGCTTGGTCTGCTCCTTTGCTTAATTATCCTACCGATGTCATTACACTGCTATATACAAAATCTATCAAATTCTTCCCAATCCATGGCCTCTAGCCAAGGTGATGTCCCAAAAGTGCCTTCCAACCATAGCCTCGTATCTCGTATCAAAGACTTCTCGATCCCCATCTCCTTTCCCAATGTATGAAAAATTGAGCAATGTAGATAAAAAATTGATCCTGCCCTAAGCATAATCATAATCGCATCCAGATACACTTCATGGTTACTCTTTCTGTAATCCACTACAAGCTTGTCTTGTTCCCTTACGATACCCATTAAACCATAGACCTTATCACGGGGATCCTCGCACTCGGACGGGTTGTAGGTGGACATTGTGAGGAGTAGACCTAGCGGCAATTTCTGTAATGCTCGTTTTGGACCGAATGCAAAGAAAGTCAGGAATATAGGGTATGGGTCTTCAGGATCGAATACTGCTGCATACCCAGCAGACCTGTCTTCTATCGTACTCCATGCGATGTTGCGGTGTCCATTGATGCGGAGCCAGATCTTCTTAGCAAGCAATATCTCTTGTATTATCCACATCCTCCTAAAGTATTTGTTCTTCAACAAGAGAACTGCTGATTCTTCATCCAAGTCCCGGTCGTTGAAGCGATCATCTTCGCGCGGATATGCTAGAGGTATGTCACCCAGCCAGATAATCACGAAGGCACTCCTGCCGTAGATACGTGCCATTATTCCAACTTGATGATTTCGTTCTGAGGTATCCATCTGAGCAATGCAGATCTGGTCTACCCATAGCCATGTGTTCAGCTCTTCTCGCAGCTCCAATAAACATGAATTCAGGATATCCCGAATCTTAAGTACTTTGCCTTCGATATGAATATCGTGCAATGGCGACGGCAGACCCCATCGGTAAGATAATGCAACGTATGGTGGAGCGCGTTCAAGCGGAAAGACTTTGACTTCGCAGTGTACAGGTCCTTTTGTCTCTCGGGAAAGTTTCAGGAGGCGTATCTCATCCGTGGAAGTATCTAGACGTTGATGCTTGTAGATTTCGGGCTCTTCTGGCGACTCGTAACGTTTACGGGATGCCCTTCGAAGTTTCGGTGCTAGCTGAGACGACTTTGGCACAACTGTTTTTTTCCGTTCATTGCGTCGCGTCGTGCGGATTCTGTGCTCTGTGGCTGGTATACGATCTTCCAAAACGATCATCCGACGCTTCGATATTCGTTCAGATGACCTTGGTATAAATGTTTTTATCGACTCAACGCGTGATGTGACGCGTTTTTTGCCGCTTCGCATGTTGTAGTGGGGATGAGGGCAAGTTCAACGTTTCCTCGATGGTGTAACAGAGTTACTGAAGAAGTGATGAAAGAAGTTCCAAGGGCTCTGTGGATGATCTAGGCAGAAACATAATCGTTCTGGTACAAGGCTCTATGAGGCTGTGCGGGGCGGTGTAGGCATCTTGCGCCGTGGCGGTTTCAGCCTTGCGAACTGACTGCATTCCCATGCCCCACACCACGACTTGAACAGAACTTTTGACGCTGAGCTGACGAAGATGCATAATCATTGACAGTCGTCGCATGTCCGAATGCACCGATGCTGATATTAATCGGGAAAACATAACCTTAAGGTGCACTTTCTCTTTTGACTGAGACAACTTCAACACAATGCTTGAACCCTGCCTTCCGTTGTCACGTGTTCAAAGGATCCAAGGCCTGGCCCCAGCGCTTACAGCCCCCTAGAATTCCCCTCTGTACTCGCGTCGAACTAAAGGATACACTTGAGGTTGAAGATGGAGCATGCCTCATCGATAAAGGCGGATACGGTGGTGGTGTATTCGACATCGAGTTTGTGTTTATTCATTTGGTGAAGGATTGGAGTGGCGGCCGAATAAAGCGATTCTGTGACCAACCATGTCCTGAAGTCTTTTGCCCAGCATCGCGACCAATTCTGTTGCTGGGATATCGAATCGTACATAAGGGTAGGAATGTCGTTTCTCCGTACATTGCTCTCTATCAGTAGTCTGCCAAGTTCAATACGGCAAAACAAGATGAATCGTCCAGCTCTTCCCCACCGATTGCTTCTTTGTTGCTCATTTCTACCAACGGCAGTTAATTAGCTGAGAAAGACATTTCAGCAAGAACGCCTCGTAGTACATCATGCAATTGGCCGTTTGCGAAGTCATTCCACATCGCAGTCAATCTAGTATCTTCTGAGCGGTTCGCAACAGCCGCGTTTAAGCGTATGGGGAGGATATGGAGCAATTCTCTTGAGAAGTTTTCGAGAGCTTGGTAGGGTGCCGGTAGCCCAATCTGGTCATAATATCTTCTTTCCGTACTTTCTACATTAACATCTGAACCAGCGTTAGCAAACACCACAAGGATGTGAGCGACACGTCCAGAAGACTCACATGGCATCGCCATCTCTTTCTCCTCCGCATCCGGAAATATGAGTCGGTAAATTCCACGCCATCGCTCTTCCTCTGGCTTCCCCGCTGCGCCTTTCTTAGACCGCATCGCCTCGAATGTTGCATAGCTTACTCCCCAGATCTCTGGTCTCAGGTTGATCAGGAGCGCGCATGGCTGAGGATTACGCTGATGCATGGCTAGCTGCTCTTTCCCCGCGGTGTTTCCGTAGAACGGAACTCTGCATCGTTCGCAAGCATGATATAGGTGTACGCGCTCAAGATGTTGCTTTAGTCTGTTGATTCCGAGGAAGCCTGACCCAGCGCAGGAGTCATATTTGCAGCGTCCAGGATTGCGTACATAGAAAGGACATGCGAGACCGGGGTTGAGAGGGTTAAGACTCCGACGTCTGGGCTTTTTGTGTGGTGGCGCATCTACTTCGTCAACAACAGCGGTAAGCGCTGTTGGATGGTCGTCGTCGTTTCGGCGTTTGCGTGATGTCCGGTCTGCGATTGATGTGCTGCATTGGGACCCATAACCGCTATCGAGATCTCGAAGCGGTTCAGTGAGTGTGGATGCTGTTTGGCTTGTTGTTGTCATGCTAGATGATACCGATGTTGGTGTTGACATCGACGCATCGCTTGGAAAGGTCGTCGTAGGTCCGAAATTGCTGCTAAGATACGTGGCGAATGGTTCGTCAGTACTGTATAATGTTGAGAGCTCCGCCTCACTCGGGAAGTCCGTCTCTGCTGTATCGGTATCGAGACTAGAATGCTCCGTAGAGCCTATAACCGCAGGTTGATCCGTACATTCAAGCAGCACTCCCTCATCCAAACGCTCGTCGCGCAAGAATGATTCAAAGGGCACGAGGTTTTGCCGGACCGTAGAAACCAAATCATCCGTAGCAAAAGCACCAAAGGAACGTCCCAATTCCGACAGCTCAGCACAGATGACATTTGAAGTTTCCAAATTTTCCCTCTCATCCATCATGTCGTCTGCCTCAGCCTGGACGGATGATTGGCGATTGCAGACATAATCGTCCAGAAAATGGGTTCCACAGCACATCGAACACTCATCCCAGAGCGAGACGCGGTTGTCAGGGTATCCACACTGGCAACATGTCCATAAACGCACGTGTTCAACGTACCCGTTCGCAAGCGAGTATCTCACGCTCTCTATGCAAGTTCCACATCGCCAATGTACACCTTCATAGCGGAAGATGGTAGAGTCTGAGTGTTGGGTCTTCGAGCTTCCCGAAACCGAGTTGTCGATTGTGTCATCATACCCGCACGGAAAGTCGAACTGATCGAGAACGTGTTCTGTAGTGGGCATGTGTGATAGTTGTACGTATTCCAGTTGCTGCGGTTGTCAGAGTTGATGAGAAGAGAGCCGCAATTTTGTTTGCCAAAGCGCGCTCTTCACCAAAGATATGTGCTAGAGCGTATCCGTGCCTACTGTGAACGCGCAAAGTTGCGCACAAGATTACACTTGTGGCTCTGCGCATACGAGCACTTCGCGATTGGACATGTGCAGCTCCCTGCATGATGCAAGTAAGCAGGGACGTGTACCAATCAGGAATCCCACCAGCCAAGGGTTCGTCCACGAAGAAGTATTCGGTCAGCCTTGCTTTTAACGAGAAGCCTATATTGATAGGGGCGTTTCCGATCCCTTAAATATCGTCAAAATGAATGAAATTAACAAAATACAAAAGCGAAGCGTCATCCATTTTTTTTAATTACACTCGTTTGGTTATTTCATTACTGATCACTGACTACTGATTATTATTTGAGCCGCCTTCCTCCAAGCAATCGCCATACCGCCGCCGCCGCTCAGTTGGAATCAATCTCCATCTCATCTGACGAATCTACGTCCGGCAACAGTTCGAACTTGAAGACTTTCGGAAAGTACTTCAGCACCCACCCCAGCCTGGCGAGGTTCCCTTTCTCCAACTCTTTCTCAAATTCCTATTCTGCCGGATCTCTTTTCATAGGCCGCCCTTGTTCTGCTGCCAGGCGATGATCTGAGTATCAAACAAGGGCTGCCTTTTGGTCAGGTGGTACTTCGGCACCCACGCCACCCAGGCGGGGTTACTCTCTTCAAACAAAGGAAATATAAGCCATCCAAGTAAGTGCTCTTATCTGGGGCTTCGATGATGAGTCTGGTGAGGAGGATATCTGGCAATATCCAAAAAAAGAACAGCATTTTATCCTCAGTACTCACGGTGCCCACCACCGTTCGATACCTGAGCCAAAAATGCTGGAGGTACTCTTCCAGCAATTCGTTGTTGAAACACATTCGTGGTGTGTTTCGGCTCACTACAGAGCCAGCCAATCTTCTTAAGTCATTCGTGTTAGCAGGCAAGGGAGGGCCTGCTTTGCCTCGTGGTTTTATTCGTGTTGGGCAGCTCGGGCTGCAAGACTTCGTGTTCGTTGCCGTACATCGTCCAGAGGAGCAGGAGGAGACGGAGGCGAGCTGTTCCAATAGCTCACTGAGAACCAACAAGGCCAGCAATAGCAACAACAAAGTCAAGAATAAGGACTTACCTGGGTATTCTGGCGATGCGTTCCGGTATGAAGGAATAGCGAGGACCTTTCAACAGCATCATTCTGCCGCCAGGTGCGTTCACGGGCTCACCCACCGCCCGCTGCCTGAACTAAACCTCCAATGGATCAAGTCACCCCATGAGGGATTCCTTGACAAAATCGCTGGAAAACTATCTCTAGCTATTCGTCGAGACACGAATCGTAGCTCGTCTCGGCACGCCAATGCAGAGCAACCAACTGATCTTGATATTGAGTAAATATTCACACTATTGGCAGGGTAGTCTGCAGAATATCGTGTTCGCTACCAGTCATCACATGTTGTCTCAGTATCGCCGCCACACGAGCGAGGTTTCTGCTTCTAGTGCCCAAACAGAAATTTTAATCAATCGTGACTCGTTTTGCGTCCCAAGCATCTAGTTCATCTCCCATCCCTTCCCATTCACTCAAAAGAAGGAGATGGTCGACTATCCAGGCGGCACCGACGAGGAGGCGCAAGGGTCCGACTTCTACCGCCCATCCACCTCTTGCGATCGCCTGCCAAACTCTTGTCAATGTGCGATCCATTCTTCTCCAGACAGATATTTTTGCAACCTTGACTGTAGTGCGTAGTCGAGTATGCTTAGCAGCCTGCCCCGCTAAAGATGCGGCGAATAAGCCAGTCTCAGAGTCGACCGACGAAAACACCACACCGCAGACGTTTCGCGCTTCCTCCCTGGCCAACGAGGAGTTGACGAGGTCCACGCTAGCAGTCTTGCATCCGCTACAACGCGGTTACCAAAAGCGAACAAATGGATGACGCTCCGCCAAGGGATCGGAAAACGCCTCCGTCCGCAAAAGTAACCACGGAAAAAGCTAATGACGTCCATCTCTAGACCGAGCCTGTGTCGGAGGAGATGAGGTCAAAAACCAGATGCCGTACTTCGGTCCCGACATGAGAGGTCGGTTGAACGAGTGATGGCGGTAAACACGATAGGTTGCCCGTGAGGGCGGCGATACGATAAGGTCTCCACGATGTGCCACAAGGGCCGAACACGAAAAGGGTTGCCTATTTAGGCGGTCCACGAAAAGGTGCCACAGGGGAAGTCCACGAATGGAACAATCCACAGGGCAGTCCACGAAAAGGATACATCCACGAATGGATCATTCCAAGGGGTGTCCATGAGCGGAGAATGTGATCAAGATCCTGTGGTCCGCTCATGGACTCTCGCGTCTCTAGGCCATGCCATAGCAGAGGACCCACGCGGATGGAGCCGGGTGCTTGTATGCAAGTTGAGCCAGGGGCCATAGCGGCCTATCAGAGAAATCCTCAAGGGAAAACTCAATATCTGTTGGCTTCATCCGCTCTCGTCAA